AAAATTTTAAAAGGTAAACGTCCATATCCTAACTATAGATTCCGCTGCGTTAGGATTTATTTCGATAAAGTTCAATACTGTGTATGTTGTTTGACGTTCCTAACAGAACCAACAAATAACTGGGTGGATCTGCGAACTTTCTGGCAGTTCTAGACGATAATCTACTTGACCAATGCGCTTCAGGATCTGATAAGGCCCATAGTAGCAAACTCCAAGCTTAGTTGATGACCTTTGCACTGTCGTGCGCTGTCTGAACGGTCGTAGCTTTAAATACACATATTCTCCTTGTGCAAAGCTTTCCTCGCGCCTCCTACCATCTGCGAAGGCCTTGGTTCGATTAATCAAGCCTTCGAGATTTTTCTTTAATTCCCGTAACATCAAATCTTGCTCCTCAAGTTCTCGACCGACCTCATCGTTAACCGTGCCTCTTTCTGAGTAGTTGATCAGTGTTGGCGGTTTACGCCCGTACACCAGCTCAAATGGAGTCATCTTGGTTGATTCATGGTAGGTAGTATTGTACCAGTACTCAGCCCAGGGAAGAAAGTTTTCCCATCTCTTTGGAAATTGATGGACATAGCACCTTATGTACTGCTTAAGAGTTCGGTTGGTGACCTCGGTTTGCCCATCTGTCTGTGGGTGGTAGGCTGAGCTCACTAATAACTTGGTGCCCTGAAGCTTAAAAAATTCGGACCAAAAGTTGCTCATAAAGATCCTATCTCGGTCAGAAACTATTGATCGTGGCGCTCCATGCAGCTTCATCACGTACTCGACGAGAAGTCTGGCAATTGATTTCGTTGTGTAAGGATGGGTGATGGGTATGAAATGAGCATACTTCGTAAGTCGATCCACTACGACCATAACACCGTTGAACCCATTAGAACTTGGAAACCCTTCGATGAAATCCATAGTAATGTCCTCCCAAACTGCATCTGGTACCGGTAGGGGCTGTAGTAGGCTGTTTGGTCGTCGCGAATCAGCCTTAATGCGCTAACAGTCGTCGCACCTAGCGATGTAGTCTCGAACCATGTCTTGCTGTCCCGGCCAAAAGAAGGTATTGGCTATTCTCATCCATGTGCGATAGATACCCAAGTGTCCTCCAATCTTGGAATCGTGGAAGTGCTGCATGATCGTCCCGCATAGCTGCCCACTGTCAGGAACGAACACTCGGGCTCGATGTAGTAAAAGGCCGTTATGTAGCTCATAATCAGCAATGGTCTCTCCTGCCTTGATCTTTTGACGCACTTCTTTGCAATAAGTATCCTCATCTTGCGCCTTTCGAACTTCCTCCCATACGGTCCACGTTGGTCCAGTGATAGCATCAAGCTCAGCTACATTTGTCCGGCGTGATAAGGCATCAGCTAAAGCATTCTGTCGACTTCGTCGGTAGACTATCTCAAAGTCAAACCCCATAAGCTTCGAGACAAACTTCTGCTGCTCGGAAGTAACGATCCTTTGCTTGAGTAGATGTTTGAGTGGTTGCTGGTCGGTCACAATCTGAAATCGTCGCCCCAGCAGATAGGGCCTTTAGAATCTCACAACTTTGACAACAGCCAGTATCTCCTTGACATACACAGATAGACCCAACCGAGTCGTGCCTAGCGCCTTGCTAAGATAGGCTAAGGGTCGCCCTTCTTGCACTAGTACAACTCCAATCCCAATATCTCTAGCATCCGTGTGCACTTTGAACAAGACATCAAACCTTGGCATTGCGAGTACTGGCGTTGTAGTCATGGCTCCCTTCAGTTTCTCAAACGCCTCCTCGCTAGCCTTGGTCCATGTGAATCCTCTTTTCTTGGTCATCTCTGTAAGTGGCCTGGCAATGGTTCCATAATCCTTCACAAACTTCCGGTAATAGCCCGTGAGCCCTAGGAACCCTTTGAGTTGCATGAGACTCGTTGGCTTGGGCGAGTCGACCATCGCCTCTATCTTCCTTGGATCAACCGTCACACCATTATGAGATATAAAGTGGCCTAAGTACTCGACCATCTCCTGCCCGAATGAACACTTGGACGGCTTGATGTGGAACGAGTTTGCCTCCAAGACTTCAAGCACCACTCTCAAATGCTCCAGATGTTCAGCCCATGACTTCGAATATACCAGTATATCATGAAAGAAGACTAGAACAAACTTACGTAGATGCTCATTGAAGATGGAATTCATAGCGAACTGAAAAGTGGATGGGGCGTTGCATATCCCAAATGGCATCACCAAATACTCATAGTGTCTCTGATCCGTACGAAAAGCTGTCTTCGGTATGTCAGCTTTGTGGAGTCGAATCTGATGATAACCCGCTCTCAGATCGAGCTTCGAGAAGTATCGTGATCCAGCTAACTCATCGAGCATGTCGTCGACAATAGGAATAGGAAATCGATCCTTGATAGTTGCGGCATTCAGAGCTCGGTAATCAGTACAAAACCTCCACGTGCCATCTTTTTTTTTTAGCTAACAGTACTGGTGAAAAAAAGGGACTCTTGCTATGCTGAATTAACCCCGATTCTAGCATCTCAGCCACTTGTGTAACACCCCACTTTGATTTTACAGAAATTTCGAATTTTCCAAAAACCAGTATAAAATTTTCAAAATCATTTTCGGAAACTTAGTGGGTGTTAACTAACATTTTTCATATCCCAAGTCTTATCTGGGCCTACGGGGATTCATTACCCGGTTTTCACATCGGTTTTCATTAACCAACATAAACTCATGAAATAAATAACCAAACATCAATCCCAAAA